AAAAGAGCAATTTTGCTGCTTTTTCCAAAACATTTTTTTGTCTGGAGCCGCAAAACATATTTCATAGCTTGATAGCTAATAAAGTTGTATTTATTGTTATATCAGACACAAACTACAGTTGTTTTTCATTTATTAGGCTATTTATTACATTATATAAAACTGTTAACCTCTACTAAGAAACAAAGAACTCCTATAAGGAGAATTAAAATAATATACAGGCCTACTTTAAAATAATTAAACACAGCACTTGGGGAGTCCTCTGCACATTCGAAGGAAAATAAATATTATTAAAATGGGCCCACTTTGAAATAAATAAAACATATAGCTACACCCTAAAAATAGTTAAAGGTATAGGTAAGAATTGAGAAACCAGCTCGAGTGCACTAGAATTTGAAAAGAACGCAGCCGAAAAAAATCTGCCCCTTCCTTCAGACTTCCTTACAGAGCCCCTCCTCCAACACACACGAACGCGCACATGACCAATGAGGGCACGAGATAAGTTTGTGCACAGATGGAAGATGGAAGGCTGACAGGCAGGTAGGCCATCCAGTTATTTTAGCCGGGCCGGCTCAGATGATTGGTCGTGCTTTTTACAGCGCCACGGCTTCCACAGATTAAATATTTGTATGTATTTATTGTCAAAGCATTTAATATATTCATTGCTATCGGGATGTTAAGAGCATTCCATGGAATATAACAAAAAGTGTTTCTGAAGTGAATTACCTAACCCACCATTAACTTGTGGCCCTGTAAAATCTAGCAGAATCCTTTCTGCAATAGTTCAGATTTTCTAAATCCAGAGTACGAGATTACTGCAGCAGCAGCAACTCCTTTTTCCGTGCTGTCTTAACTGAATGATATGAAAACCATTCTCCCACTGGTGTCTTAACCCCACAGTTATATTGACGAAAGAAAATCTGCAAACATTTGCCATATTCATTGATTAAGCAAATGTAAATCAGCTACAGAATAATAGGCAGGGTTATGTCCGTTAAATCAGGGTGAGGTTAGATACAGTAAGTGGAAGCAAAGATTTGTAATGTCTCCCATACATTGTTACTTTTTAAATATAAGCTTTTCAAGTTTGCCTGACAAACAGGAATAATGCATTTAATAGACATCAAACACTTATTTATTTACCCTACAGTATCAAACTGATTATTTTGTCCTAAATAACATTGTTCCTGCTCATCTGGTGGGAAATGTTTCTCTTCACCTCAGCACTAAGCTTCTCCTTCTGCACAACCAGAAGATTGAACATTGGCAACCCTAAGGATTTAGCCAGCCTGAACATTCACTGTATTCAAATAGTGAAGGACGACCATGCATATTGAATGCATGCTCTTTGGGGGAATCCAAATGGCCATTCTCCTCATTCTGTATCAGGGTGTTCTTTGCTTTGTCTCATTGCAGTAAAGTGATCCTAAAGTTCATCAATAAGACCAAATGGAGGTACAGTACTGTACGAGCGACGGGAAGTCTGATACCCTGGATTGGTCTCCAGCCTAAAATAATATATAAAATATACATGTGTCATAATGGTCTTGAACATGGGACTTTCTAAAAGAGGGTCAACTGATGTGCTTTAGGTATTATTTCTTATATACCATTTAGTCTGTCAATCATAACCTTTTGTCAGGACTTTGGTAAGGAGGTTGGGTTACATAAAAAAACATGGTGCAAGAACACCATGAGGTACATAGGGAGTCACTGGTTGAGCTCTGGCACCTCCTGTGGAGCTATATTGTTATTTCCTTAGTCTGCTTTTTTCTTGTTAAACTTATTTTGCCCTTCTTTCTCTATGTTACTAACATGCTTTGGAAACAAACTAACATCATTCATGGAATGTGTCATCTACTAACCAGTATGGTTTTTACCGTTCAACAATGTACTAACAGTATTGACCATCATATATTATTTGAGTAACAATCGTTATTCTGTTCACAGTTTTTAATTTCCTTTCTCCCCCCTTTTCCACAAAGCACTCAGGCATTGGACACGCTATGGTAAACAAACTACATTGTTCGGTAGATATCATTCTAATTGTTTCTTAGTTTGGGTTTGCCGTGTGTTTCTTTCTTTCTTTATTTTTATTGTAGACGTCATTTACAAAAAAGGGAAATTGCGGTTGGTACTCTTTTGCTTACTTTTCAAATCCTTTTTAATTTCTTGGTTCATTCATTGGTTTCACCCTCTTTATTTCACTTGTTTCCTGTCCAACTCTGTTTAATCCACCTTTTTAGGAGCATCATTTCGAGCCTTTTGCATCAAGCTGTGGTTAATAATGAGGACCCTCTCCTGTCTGGCTGGCCTGATGCTCTTTGGCTCAGCCAGTTGAACCCCCATTCACTTTGCATGGCATGCACTTTGACTATGTGTTGCAATTGTCACAGTGCCCATTAGTCAACATAAATGTGAAAGTTAAGTTTTGTTCGTCTTTGGTGCTTCCCTGGTGAATTCTTACGTATATCTCAGTGTCCCTACGCTTCTGCATGCTTCTGACGTTATGGCAAGTGTTAAAATATTGACTCCCGGTATCCCATTCAATCATTTTCTTTTTGTTTTGCTTGTAATCAAAAAGAAAACACAAATGCATTCATGTTTCATGTTTCTCTTAAACCCTAAGTCATTGACTATACTAAACGGTGATTGTGCTCATCATAGCATGTGCTCCCTTTCTAACCAAGTAGCACTTTCTGATTTATTTTGTAGAACTGCTGGATGTACTAATATTTGATTAATGATTTAACTAACCTAGATAACATTCTACTAACACCATTTTTGTGTCTGCTAAATAACATTTACGTTGCTGTCGGGGCAATACTAACACTGTATAAAAAATGTGCACTTCACTAACACTCTAACTAGAATAGCATTCTTTTGAAGGCTTGCAGTCTTCCAACTAATCAAACTGGACAAAATAATAATAAAAACAAGAAAAAAGACAATAAAAACAGACATGAAAATGGGTTAAGAAAAGTAAGGAAGTCTTCAATAGACGACAAGAAGGAAAGGCAGTGAGTTTGCACTACTTAGGCTGTCTGAGTATAGTGTGTCTTTTCCCTGTGCTTGGTTGTCTAGGTGACAATATCCGTGGATGGGATTCTGACCACCACGGGATATACACAGGAAGACTACACCATGCTAGGCTCTGACGACTTCTTCTATGTTGGAGGGAGTCCTAGCACAGCTGACCTGCCTGGATCTCCAGTCAGCAACAACTTCATGGGATGCCTCAAGGAGGTAAACACTGCTTCTGTGTACTCTCTGACGCTGGTGGGTGTTCAGGATATGACTGGCTTCACCTCAGGACTCCAAAACAGGCCATTCCACCCACACACTGACCCTGTCTCCTCCTTTACTCTTTGCTTTAGTTTGTTTCTCACACAAACTTTATTATGCCTCTACCTCCCCCTCAGTGCACTCATAATGTAACACACAAGATTGTGCACACACACACACACACACACACACACACACACACACACACACACACACACACACACACACACACACACACACACACACACACACACACACACACACACACACACACACACACACACACACACACACCCACACACACAACTTCACACCGAGGTGTCTGGTGTACCACACAGCTGCACATAAAGAACAGTCTTAGAGTGGAATTTAGCACAGACTTCATACGGCTCCTTCAGGTGCACTTCAAAGAAGAGCAGTGATCCTGAGATCAGGCAGTTGAATTTTCATGAGCAGTCAGCCAACTGACACACTAAACACCTCACTATTCTTCCACTGGGGACTGAGGTACCAGACTGATGTTATCGTAGGCTACTTGCCTAATGGCTTACCTTATTACCATAAAATTTTGTGTTTACTGTAGCAAATGTATCTTGTTCTAGAAATTAGCAACTAAGATTTAACCCTCACCCTCACTTGAAGAAAAGGTGCAGAAGCAACCTGGTGCACTTGGCTAATGTGTGAAGATTAAATGTACGTCTCCCAGATGAGGCAAAAGAGGTCATTACACAATAGTGTTTATATTGTTGGCTGGTTGATAAGGCATTCTGACCTTAAGCATTTACTTTAGGAGATGCCTTGTATTTATAAAGATGTCTGGCAGAAACATATCTTAAGTACTGCAAAATTAATAATCCATTTATTTCAACTTTTAGTTTGAAAAGCATCCTTATGTTTTGTTCTCTTCTCTCTCTAGTGTCCTACATTTTGTCCCACTCACCTCAAGCGCAGACTGTTGTCCTTAGCAAATGTCTCATAGATGTCTGAAGAAGCTCCCTTTAATGAGCAGGCAGGGCGTGGACCACATGTCCCCACGCCATGTACAGCTCATTAGAGGTCTGGTTCTGAAGGATAGTATCTTAGTTAACTACTGTACATGTCTCTGAGCTGCTGAAGATGTGGTGACAAAGGGATTGGAAATGGTCTACCCTAAGCCTGGTCTCTCCCCACTGAGCTGTCCTCACTTTTCTTGGTCAGCTTAAGCACAGCGGCTGCTCTCACTATCCTAATGTCAATGTATTATGGCGCAAAGAGTTGTGGGATATACAGAATTCCCCTGTAGTTTGCCACTAGGATCATTTCATTGTTATTAGCGTTATAAAAAAAAGAAGAGACAAGGCCGAAATACTCTCAATCATAAGGTTAGTTGAGCTCACGTAAATGTTTTTTTATTTGATATATTAATTGCACTGACAGACTGTCATGGAGCCTTTTGGTTTCTATAGAAGCCCTGTTCCAGGTCATCTTCTGTGTATGTCATAACATATGAGCGGTGGTTTAACAGCATGTGCTGCAGGCTGTGATTGATGGCATGATTCGAAGCGGCTTGTTGTTGTATTTGTGTGCAGATTCCAGTCTGAGCCGCCACGCCTGCCTGTTGGTTCTGATGGCAAAACAAACGGTGGTGCAGTAATTGCTCAGTTGTCACAGCACATAGCTTGATGACAAATTAGTGCAGCAGTACTAGCGCAGCAGCAGTTGTAGCTCAGACCAAAGCGCCTTTGACTCTGAAAGGTGCCCTTTGTCTTGGGTATAAAAAATGTATTCGGCTGTGTCTGTTGCACCTTTAGTCTACATAACTAAGGTCCACCATGCAGAGATATCAACCTTTTATTCATTACTCTTTATTTCTTGTGTCAGGAGATTCTAATTGGATTATCTTTTTCTTATTATTCTATTCTAATGGAATATTTAAACCGTTCCATTTGTCTCTGTTTCAGACTTTTTTTTAAAGAGAATGGATAAAGATGTCGGAATAAAAGCCTCTGTTTTTCAACTTTATTTTTTCCCCAGTGCATATGAATACAGTCTGATATAGTCAGTCACAAAGCATTAACAAGGACATAAGCCTGAGCTTACCTAAATCTGTGCACGGCAGTGAGCTCAATCTACCTGAACAGTTAGACACAGTAGATCTGGCTCAGTGATAAACATAATGCTCCATGCACATGCAATCCCATCGGAGGTGTCCCTGTTTTCAGGTGAGCGCTTAGCATGACAACAGATAAAGAACACGGCCAGAGTTTTCCACAGCTGTAACTCATTTGATTTGTCCCGTTGCAAGCAATAGATTTACCATTATGTCTCTTTTGTTATGTAAATATATATGCATGCTGACCATAATTGGGCTATCCGTCACTTGATAACCTTATCTACCCATTAGCAGTGCTGGAGCGGTGTGAAAGAGATAATTGACTCTGCTTCTGCCCCCTGGGGATAGTCTGCCTGGCATACTATTGACAGCTTTGTCTTTTAAAGTCCATTTCTTCATAGCATTTTCTTCAGGAACTGATTGACACATTGAATTCAATCACTTCATGTTTGTAAGTGTGTTTTTGTAGTAAGTATTTCTAACACAACTGATGTTTTAGTGACAATCTTTTACACACCAAAATGTTAATTAGTTTCACCAAATGTAAATTAGACAGAGGGATACCTGCTATTTCAGCTCAATTGATCAAGGTCCTCTTTCATTACGGATATTGGATAATGACAAAGTTATTGCTAATTCATTTTTGTTAGATTGTTGCCAATTACAGTTATAAACCTGTTTGATTTCCACATAGTGCATCATGCCGTTCCCCTCACACACAATGCAGCTTATTGTTTGATTTAGAGATGTTTTGAAATGTAATCCTACAGTTTATGAAACCAAATGTATCATGCCTTTTTGGGTGCATTTACGAGTCACACAGGATTTTCACAAGTTTCATAGAAAAATAGAGTTGATGAGCTAGACAAATGCTAATTAAATGTGATCAGGTTGGGAAATCGGTCTGCACTGTTCCATATGATAATAGTTGTCATTCATGGTTAATTGGTATTTTAATGAGGTGGTTCCTTTTTTATAATAGGCTGCCACTGTCTGTCACTTATGTCTTACCTCTACAGTGTTCAGCCTCTCAAAGGTCACATCACTAATGCACTTCATTAAATAAAGCACTCTAATGCCAAACCCTTTCTAACTTGTCTACAGTGTCTGAGAATACAAACTGCTTTTGATAAAAGACATTCTTCATAGAAATATGCAAAGCAAATGTCAGTCATTTTTTATTTTCAGCACACATTTATTCTAATAACAGGCTTCAACTGGGGCCTTAATCAGCATTTTACTTCACACATGCAAAGAAGGAAGCAGTTTTGATGTATCACTTGTATCTGAAGTTTCACACACAATTCCAGGAGAAGCTACTGTACCTGATCAACATTTTTTTACCCTCCCCTTTACCTTTTTTAAATTGAGACTATCTCTTCTTTTAGTCGACACACAAGCAAAAGTCAAAATAGAGGTCTCAACACTTCACCCAACCAGAATACTATATTTTGTGCAGGGTGATGTAAACGACAATTGGTGCCACTTAAACGCAGTTCCTCACTTTCCCTTTTCTACTCTTAATTCAGGTTGTGTACAAAAACAATGATGTGAGGCTTGAGCTGTCCAGGATGGCGAAGCAGGGTGATCCCAAGATGAAGGTCCATGGTACTGTGGCGTTCAAGTGCGAGAATGTGGCCACTCTGGACCCCATCACATTCGAGACGCCAGAGTCCTTTATTGTCCTCAATAAGTGGAACGCTAAAAAGACGGGCTCCATCTCCTTCGACTTCCGCACCACAGAGCCCAACGGCCTTCTCCTCTTCAGCCACGGCAAGCCCAAACAGCCGCCGAAGGATTCCAAGAATCCCCAGATTCTCAAGGTGGACTTCTTCGCCATTGAGATGCTGGATGGCCACCTGTACCTGCTGCTGGACATGGGCTCAGGGACCACCAAGACAAGGGCAGTCAATAAAAAGGTCAATGACGGCGAGTGGTACCATGTGGACTTCCAGCGAGATGGCAGATCAGGTAACTTTTCCGTCTATTACTACAATCACAAGCCTAACAATATGCACTGTAACAGGGCTTCTGCTACTACATCGTTGTTACCCATTCAGTTTTGACCCATGCAGTAGCTTTGGCTCTTTAAGTGCAGCTTGCAGAATTCACAAGACCAGCTCATCCGATTAACTTCTAACATTTTCAGTGCAGTACTCTGCACTCTGCAATACTTCCTGCAATACTTCCTCTGCAATACTCCTGCCAAGTTTAAAGTCAATTGGACGAACGGTTCTTGAGCTATGCAGTAGCTTACGGTTATTCCTTCGATTATATTACTATAAGCCGGCACGGCTTATAGTAATATAATCGAACAGCAATCGAGCAAACTTTTAAGGTCAGCTATAGCGAAACTGTATGGATGATCAACACTATGAAAACCAGCTTGTTCCAATTATGTTTTCAACCTAATTTGAGGACAATACTCTAAGCTGTAGGAAGAAACACCATAAAAAAAAGATTTTGACCTAATTCAGAATGGCAAAAGAGTGATACATGTGCTAAATAGGCTTATACTGTATATAGATGTGTCTTTGCCCACAGTTTCCAGGAAAAAAGGAATCATAATTTCTTAGACTTGCTTTTTAAAAGTTAAAAATGTAAAATAATTTTTTATAGCGCCAACAGCTGGCCAAATTGCACCACATTGAACTTTGCACTACTCTGGTCCCCCAGCAATGTACCCGCTAAGCGTGAAGTAGATCCGATGACCTGCTCTTTGTGTGAAGGACATGCACATTGACAGAGATGTTTCGCTTAATGATAGATTTGCACTGGATGCTTATTTTAAACCGTTCAGAATCAGGACATACAATATAAAATATTTTGAGGACACTAACTTCACAGGGTGGTACCGTGCGTCATAGATTACGATTCCAGAGTAAAATTTGCCACACAAATATGTTGCCCCCTCTCCTGTTGTGTCCTCTAAGCTCAGAGTTGCTCCCCTCTGGTCGCTGTTGATTTGCTTATCTAAGCAGCAATTTGTTAGTCTGTGCTTAGAGCCAAGGCCTCGCAATGTCATGCTGCAAATTAGATACTGTATACCCCTTGACCATATTTTCCACTCCATCTCAAGAGGTGGAAATTAGATTTACTGTTTCATTACCCCTCAAAGCAATACTGGGCTGTGGTCTAAATTGAGCTGTATACTTTGTTAGAATAGCTATAGCACATCCATGTGTTATTTTAAATAATTCTACATCTGACTGCACAAATCATTGAAGGTATTTTAAAAAAAAAAGATAAGCTCAAATACTCTGAGTTAGCTGAACACTATAATTTACAGTGCTGTGTTGATTTGATTCAGCTTAACACATTTGGGCAACAAAGAGCTGTGGGTGACTTCTCAAATAACATAAATCAACAACATTTAGTTACCGTAGACCAAGCGATAAGAAACGGTGTCTAAATTAGATTGTGTTCATTATCTTTCGAGTAACCTCCATCATCCACCCCCACACACAAACATGTGCGCACACACAAAAGCTATCGAACATCTTTTCTCGCTGTTCTCTCTGTCTACCCTGCCCAAGTTTCCATGGAAACAGGAGGTGGTCTCTCCCAGGCCTGAGACAGTTACTGCACAGTGCTGAGCTGTGCACTAATGACATTTCAAAATAACTTTTCTCCCTTTCCTAAAGTCTAAGGCATCAGCTCTTGCATACTAGCTTGTAAATGGGACATAAAAAGGTCTGTATTATGATGACTTAGTAACAAGATGGTGAGATTACTACACAGTGCACTCACAAAGTGTTACAAATTATGAACTTTACCTATGCTGACCCTACTAAACATAAGTCCATTTAATTCTGCAAATATGAAGTCCTTAAATATATAAAATATCTATAAACTGCAAAAAGCTATTTTATTAAGGATGTGTAATGATGTGTGTATGGCACTTTTAAATGATACCATTTATAATTTGTCAGTTCCTTTTTACTGTAAAGGCCTCATGAAATCTCCATTCCCACAGGTTACTATAACGGTGCATTACATAGCAGTTTTGTGACTATCTAGTTATTTAGACATTATCCTAACAGCTTTCTGAATGCAGATTTTAATATATTTGTTTTTTAACATTAGTAACATTTACTTCATGGACAAAAAAAAAGATAAAGTAATATTTTGATGGAATGATATTCTAGGTCATGCTCTAAACAATTTGTAACCTTTATAAAAGCCTGAAGGAGGATGGTCCATCTCTGTCAACATGTTATTTCACTATAGTCCACATGTGAAGCTCAGTAGAAAAAGCCCTGTCCCTCCTACGACATAACCTTAGCTTGGCTTGTGTCGGCACTTTTACACCCCAGCTCTAATTAGTACTACTGTTTTAATGATTTATAGAAATAAGATAATTTAAAAACATAAGAAAAGTACTCACTAGTCTTACAAGAGTGCGAGTCACAAAACATGCGGTATGCTCTGCTTTTCATCGGTGTCAGATGTTTTATTAAAACACAACTCCAAATGCATCGCTCAAAAATGAAAATCAACAGCCGGACATCAGCTGCTGCCGGGTCCTCCATGAGCTGCTCTTCGTGTAGCCGTGACAGTGCCTGATAACGATCCCTGCCCTATTTAGTTTAGCCGGCTCTTCCTGCAGGAAGCAAACTGTAAATGGACTCTCGCTCTCAGACAGCATCTTCTAACCTCAATGCATTAGAGACGCTGAGATACACTCTGCTTTTAAGTGAGGGCTCCTGGGCCGCGAGTGCTGTGGGTCACTCATCAGAGACATTACACGGACATTTCTCTGTTGAAGCCCCACTTCCTGCCAGGGCACACACAAACATGCACACACATACTGTACACAAACAGACACATAGGCAGAGATACAGACAACACATCCCTTCCATCCCCACAGCCCACTCGCAAGCTCTACAGAGAATCCAATCACATAGAGAGATTTGGCCGTATCGCCCTAACTGGATTGTAGTAATCCCCTGTCTGCCATGTTTTGGGGATGTGTGAGTGGGGTTAGGGGACATCCTGCCAAGTTGAGCCGTGCTGCTGATGCAGAAAAAGTATGAGAGAGATCTGAGATGTCCTTTGGAACTCTGGCTTCAGATTTGATGATGGAGTAGCACTCAGGACACCGAGAAAGAAGGGGAGAACAGAAATGTGGTCGATGGGTTTTAGAGTGTCGTGGAATGCTGGTCTTTGTCAACATTCTCATTTAACGCCTGCATCGTCATTTTAATCAACCCACCTTAGCTGTATGTGTGGCCCTGTGCTTGCTTCTCTAGATATGACTTGCTGCTGCAACTTCCCTCATCTGCTTTCTTATCTGATATCATATACCCCTCCCTCATCTTCTCTCCAGACATCTTTATCTCCATGTTCCCATCTTGTTCTGTATCCATCTCCTCCTCTTTTATGCTCTGCAGCGTTCACAGAGACACTGCCTTTGTCTCCCTCTTGGCTATGACAACTGTTCCAAACATAGTCCGTCCTGCACTGTGTGCATACTGTATGTCATATGGTTCCTATGCTTCTAGCCTGGTGATGGCACATGTCCCCATGGGATTATATAGTGCCTTCCGACTTCTTGACTGTTTACACACTTTCTACAGGACTGTGACAAGTGAGCAGAACACTCTGAGCAGAAGCCTGAAAGATGCTGACAACCTTCTCTTGTCTCCCACTTATATCAATTTAGACAGACATGAATACTGTAGTCTTATCAGAATCAGAAACGGGTTTATTGCCAGGTAGGTTCACACGTACGAGGAATTTGACTTGATGTCATGGTGCATACATCAAATATAAAACAAAAAATCCAAAAAGTACACAGATAGCGAACTATATTAAGAACACAGTAAACAAATATAGATAGCAATACAATAAAGTAAAGAAGTAATTTACAGCAAAATATAATGTAGTGAATTATAGAATATGAAACATGTATAGTAAGCAATATTTGAACAATATTTGAACATTGTGTGCATTAATGTAATGCTTATAGAGTCTATGGCATCCTTGTTTGCTGTAAACAACTATAAAAACACTTACATTTAGGTACCAATGCCATGGGATTTAAAGAAGAGGATTAGAAAGTGTTTACTTTACAAACAATGGATCTTTTTGTACCACGGCCATTATGTGTTGAATGGGGAGATCTTCCATCTTGATTCACGCTATCCACGCTGATCCTCATTCTTCAGCCGGGCACCTGCTCTACTCAGAGAAAAGTTTCCTCGCTAATGAGTTTGATGTACTGAGCTCGTTAGCGATAACCTGAAGGGAGCTGTTCTGGCTGTGTGACGGGTGGCCTGTGCCAAGTGTGCAAAGCTTGGTAGTCACAACAGCTGTGGCTAGAGAGCGGGGGAAGTGGGTGGCGGCAGGAAAGTGCTGAAACAGATGCCGAGGGCCAAGACCCTGAGAAAAGAGTTGGAACATGTTAGTGGGACCAGGTTAATCATTGTGCACTAAGTCCTTAGCTGTCTCTCTCAAGCACCTCTACAATGAGGCTGGCTCACCTTGGCTATAAAGAAATTGCATAACCAGGGTTATTATTAACTTAGTGTTCTTTTTTCTTTTTTTGCAGTGTTTAAGATTTTAACAGTTTGAAAAAGGAAAAAAAAACACAATGAACGTGTCCTCTAATTGAAAACAGATGCAGATATTTATCATACGTGCAATTAATTGTGATATGTACAATCATGCATGCTAATGGTAGCTGTAATGAAATGTGAAAGGCCCCATTTCATGTCTAATGTGTCTCTTAAATGTGCCAGGCAGCCCTGCTGAAACTTCATGTGTGGCTTAGGGCTTCTTTCCCAATATAAACACTTTAACTAAAAGAACAACTTAAAAGCTGCACTTTTCTACCACATACTGTAGCAAGCAGTTCGGTCCCTGACATTTAGCCCGAGGCAATCAGCCAATGGCTCCTTCATATCTGCCATGGCATGTATCTGCCACTCAAAATGCAAATTATAACTTCATGGCTATTCTATTTTTGAGCATCCTTAGCCTACTATTTCTCTATGACTCTCCCTCTGTCTGTGCCGATCCTCAGCACGGTATATAGATTACTGGATGAGGATGCGGGCAGTGGAGGCAGCCACCATTAATTAAAGGTCCACAATGGCTCCTGCACTGAGAGAAACAGATCCATATACAAATTAATCACCGGGTCTGAGTCCCACAGCAAGGCCTTCCTTTCCACAGCTTTACAGTCCAGTCATGTCCGCTGTTGTTTACCGTGCTCCAGATCGAGAATTAAACCTGAATGAGAGCGATAAATCATGGTGGGGAAACACACAAACTCTCACTGCAGGTTTATGTGTTGGAGAGCTAAACAGAGGGAGAGACAGGGTGAAAAAAACAGCCTGCAGTCCGTTAATCAAGTTCAAAAAGATGGCTATGATGTTTCTTTGTATTTGTTTTGTTGGCTGAAATAAAAGAAGGGGTAACGATTTTTCTTCCCTTCTCCTTTCTTTTTTATAACCACTGCTTTATAGATAAAGGAGATTTATAATGGGAAATCCAAGGAAAATGGAGAGGATACTCTTAGGGATCCTAGATTAGGCTACTAATAGACTAGCTGTCCCATGATGAATGTGTCTTATCAACACTCATCAGTCATTGTAAATGAAGAAAATCCCGACCTTGTCCAGATGGATAACACCAATTAAGCTAATTTCTTCATCAAACCGTCTTTAATTGGGGCTTCCATACATGTTTGTGTTCCTGCAGGGGAGATAGTGTTTTTAAACATCTACAGTCACCAGGGGTTATAATGTGTTAATCACTTGAATAACCGAAAGGGTTGTTTAAAAAAGGCAAAATAAACATATGTACATTTTTCCAATTTTGTTTAGGTACCATTTCTATCAACACCCTCCGTACTGCCTACACAGCCCCTGGAGAAAGTGAGATCCTGGACTTGGATGAGAATCTCTACCTCGGGGGTCTGCCAGAGAACAAAATGGGGCTGGTGTTCCCCACTGAGGTGTGGACAGCACTACTGAACTACGGCTACGTGGGCTGCATCCGGGATCTATTCATTGACGGACAGAGTAAGGATATCCGGCGCCTGGCCGAGGTCCAGAAGGCAGCCGGGGTCAAGCCCTCCTGCTCCAAGGAGCCTCCCAAACAGTGTTTGAGCAACCCTTGCCAAAACAATGGGGTCTGTAGAGAGGGCTGGAACCGCTATGTGTGCGACTGCTCTGGGACTGGATACCTGGGACGCTCCTGTGAAAGAGGTAGGACTTTGTTTTTATGTAGAGCTGTTTAGAAGCATATCATCTGTCTGGTACGCATAACCTGGATTTACCAGTGTGAAATGTTGACTATGCAACTAAAAACTTGAATATAATTGAATTCCAAGACAACCAGAATACTTTCATTATATTCACTTTGGAACAGTGATGTTGATACGTTTTAATAAAGTGAGTTTCACGCCCGCAGGTAGTCTTTTCAGTGGGTCATCTCGCTTTACACCTCTAGCGATATAGAGAAGATGAAGAGAACCACTTATATAAAAAACACTTGCCACACCGCTCACAAGCTTTGATGCTCATGGTACTATGGTGTGAAAATGAGTTTGTGAGTGGAGCGTAATGCATGGTCACAACAAGTGAGTGGATGAGTGACAGAGCGGATCAACTGCTTGCTGTCGGGTGCACCTGCTGGATGTATAGATAATAACTGAAATATGTGCTCTCAGATTTAAATGAGATGCAGGACATCACTGTTAGATTTAACATGTCTAATTCACATAAAAAGCATATCCAGACAAAAGGAGGAGGCAGGAAAGATTTGTTTGTATCTGATAGTTGAACATCAGCAGCTCTCAAGCAGCAAAGTGAACGTAATACCAGGCAGAAAAGAAAGTGTTCATGTGGAGACAGACAGCCACAGAGAGGCAGACAGAATGAGTCAGGATGCGTAGTGTTGACTTCCTGATGTTAGACTATGTTGAGTGGCAGGTAACTGATGCACCGCTGAGACACTGCTGGTCACGTCCACCATGCACACTGGCCTGTAAATTGGCTGTCTTCTGCTAACCATTTGGCTCATCAAACCACTCGCTCATGACCAGACCTGGTGCAGAATACTTATCTCTCCGTCCTCCAGAGAAGAGAAATAGGAGAAGTGAGTGTCACACAGTGAACTCTTATAGCTCCATGTCTCAGCTGGAGCCGACATAAACCTGACTCTGCAGTAGTTTATTACTTTGAAAGTGCAGTTTTTGAAGCTGCTCATAGTAAAATAAAATCTCAGTCCTCAGCAGTGTTTCATGTTGTTAGAGTTATAACTTATGGCGTTATATCCAAGATTTGTTTGTGGATGTCTATAGTACTACTGTAACCGTAGACATTTGAGTGAAGTTACCCCTGAGACACTGTACAACATTCTACGTTCTTTTACTGCATTGCTATTTAAAAAATCTAAAAAGATTATACCATATCTGTTCTCATTCATAACACTCCGTTCGATGTCTCACTATGGGATGCGCCTCATCGCGGAGCAAACAGAAGCATCAATCTCATTACGCCAATCCTGATTGGCTGGTGATCTTAACGTCAGCGTCAGGGAATCCACCCACCCTATAAGTAGCTTGCGCCACGTCGCAGCGTCATTCAAACACCTCTTCTCGCTTCAGAGCACATCTCGATAGATCGGTAGCAGGGCTAGCTTAACGGTCCACAGACTGAACCCAAAGCTAACTTTCGGTCGACGGGCGCTCGCCGGCTACTTTTCTGCTTCGCAGAGAAGACTGTTTAATCTACCCTCGTCGTCGTTACTTTTCCTTCGGACATAATAGATATAAGTTTGTTGATTTTTCCAGCTAGTAAGCACACCTGTTTGCTAGCTAGGCTTGCTTCTCACTTCATCTGACCACACACCACAGCTTAGCAGAGGACACGTTTTTTTCTTTTTTCTTCTCTCTCACACCAGAGGAGAAGAAGATAAAAAGGTATTATCAACACACCTTAGTTAATATTCTTTGAGAATAAAATCCATACCACACCGGATTCGCATTTTTTCTCGCGGATTACGACAGGTTGTAAACTAAAAAATTTTTTTCCTCACGAGCAACGTACGCTGTTATGAGTGCGGGCGAGCGGGTATCTCTCCACGCCGTCACCACGGCGAACGCAGATTGGACGCTTTTCTCTCCCCTCGACACCAGAGGGAGTCAGGGACTCGGAGGGCGGCTCTGCGGGGTCTACGGAGTGAAGATTCCCCGCACCAGATCACACCAGGTCTGCCGTCGTCCTGCCTCGGGCAGTGGAACACCGCCCAGGAGGCTCATCGACAACCCCGGCTCGTGCGGGCATTGTGCCCGCTTTCACCATCAAGAAGCCTCCGCGCCGACGGGGCTAGCACGCCACGCTGCTGTCGGGACACGGGACGGCCCCTCATGGTCCGCTGATTCGCCCGGGCCGCCATCACAGACATGGGCGGGTCCGCGCAAGGAAATGAGCCCCCGGCCTGTGTCACGCGCTGGGCTCCGCAACTGACCTCCACCCATGGTCTCGCCCGCGGAAGGATGTCTTTTGGAGTTGGGACTACATGGAGGACGAAAGAGGGATGCCTCTGGAGATCCCTCCTGTCCGACGTCGGATGAGCAAGAAGATGATAATCTTCGTTGTTCGATCAGCTCAGGCTTGCCCCAAACCGGAGCGGATGGCTGGCTCTCCGGGCGATAGCGCTCACCCCAGCGTCGCCCTGTCTGGAGCATGGGAACCTGCAGGGCCGTGTGTCAACGCGCGGCCGGCGTCCAGCTGACATTCCCATGGCTGAAATGGCCAAGGAGACCTCCAGATCCGGCTACGGGGGGAAAGACTTCTCGTGGAGAACCGCCCCTACAGTAATAAGGGCCCCAAATCCAGGGTGCCTCCTCCCTGGACTGTGACGAGGTATGGAGAGGCTCGGCCGCTGCCTCACATACGCCCCATGGAACCGTGGTGGCAAGCCCACTCAGACCGAGGCTGGCTCCGACCCAAGCAGGAACGCCACGCTACCGGTGAAGGCAGACGTTCCAGTTCAGCGGAGAACGGAACGGGGCCTATAAAGCCGCAAGCGTTGTCCGGCCAGGGGGCCACTCAACAGTATCCTCACTGCTGGACCGCCTTACCAGGCGGAGCTCTGCGAGGACCTTGTCGAGCAAACCTGGCGGCCGTGTGGGACCGAGATCGTAGCGATCACGGACCATTTGCCTCCGTGTGCAGCGCTTGTTGCAGTCCAGCGCACGGGTAAAAAGTCATGGGCATAATGGTGGTACAAGAGAGGAGCCAGGTGGCTCAACCTTGACCCAACCTCCCAGACCGGGAAAATGAGGATGTTCTCGACATGCCTATTCGGTTTCCCGAGGGTCATTTTTCGGCTCCGCTTTTAGTCTCGATTGCAGGCGGAAGGTGTAGAGTCGAAAAAAAGAAGGAAGACGAGGCCCTCACCTCTTGTTTCTTCCCCCCGAAGGGTCAATTGTTTTCCTGTATCTCTTGCGACTTTTTTTGGTCTTCTTGTTTGTCTGTTTCGCCCAATTGTTGCCTCTTCTGTTTGGTTCCTCTGTTTGGTTACCTCTCTCTGTTTGGGCTTGCGAGGGCCACAGGCCCGCCCCTTTTGTCCCCTTGTATTTTTGTCTTGGAACGAGGACGAGTTTGTGTCTTGTGTGTTTAATTTATCTTTTGTCTGGCCAGTAGCTTCTTGTTGTGTGTCTAGCCGACTCAGTGTTTTCAGTCACCAGTCGGGAGGTTGATAGGAAGGCCGGTTTTGCGGCCTCTTTTCTGTCCTGGACACGCCTCTTCTCCCTCTCCTCGGTGACAGAGCTGGAAGTTCCCTGTTCCCAAGCTCCAGATGTGTTTTTGGGGTGCCACCAGGGCCCATCTTCCCGCCGCTCGAGTGATGCCGCAACGCCATCCTCAAGGTCGCGCCAGAAAGGGAAACGGACTTAATACCAGCAGACAGCGAGTTTCTGCTATCTGCCCTAAGTCACAAAAAACCACCATGTTCACCAAATACCATTGTTTTTCAAATAAACCATTTTTCACTGTCGCATCCGGGCGCGCTTCAAGCCGAGGGCGCAGTCCAAAAAAAATGAAAAGAAAACCAATAACAAACAATAAACAGTCTGCACCTGGTCCCCTCTTTTGAGAGCAGCATTACGCTCTTTTTTTTTTCTCAAAAAGGCGGCATAATAAGGATGGGGGTCTGTGAAGCCCACCACCGCCCACGCGCATGCGCAGGACGGACTGGGTTTATCAACCCTGGGTACCGCGCTGTTTCAGATACTAGAGGGCCCCATACACAACCATATAGAGACATCAGAGGGACAAGAGACGTGACATCTCCGGCTCTCTTAAGGAAGCGACAAGGTGGAAGATGCTTTCACAGATTCTGCTTGGGTTTTTCAAGACAGTACCACGGGGCTACAGCTCCCAATTCGCTGTCACCCCCCCTCCGCTTCTCGGGCATTCTGTTCTGTAGTTCACAATGCCCGGGGAGAGGCCAGCCCCATTTCTGGAGCGAGGAGATTTCTCCTCGCTACTAGAAAAGAAGGCTATATCTATAATACCCGGCCGAACAAGTTCAGAGCAGCTTTTATTTCTCAAGTTATTTCCTCGTTCCCAAACGGGGGAGGGGAACGGAATTCGGCCATACTAGATTAGCTCTGAACCACTATCGCAAAAAAAGATACAAATTCAGAATGCTCACTCACACATTTCTCTGCTTAGTCTCGGGCGACAAAGCGGACTGGTCACATCAGTCGATCTGAAAAGATGCGTTTTCCCACCATCCCCAGTATATTACCCCACACAGGAAATATCTGAGGTCGCATTCAGGGTGTCCTGTTACGGAAGTACAGATCCTTTCCCTTCGCGTCTGTCTCTCAAGGTCCAAGAGTGTTTGGTGCGATGTACGGAAGCCGCGATAGGCCCCGTTAGAAACAGGGTATTCGCCTGGCAACCTACACTGGACGACTGGCTGCTTCTCGCGACCAGTCGGGAACAGGACGGCATTACGCAGACAAATATCCTCGTAAACCACCTGCTCGACCTGGGTTTCCATAATAAAACATCAGAAAAGGCTCATTGTTGTCCCCAGCCCAGACTTGTACTCTTCCTGTCTACCACCTGAAACTCGGTGCCCTTTCAGCCCGGCCTGTCAGGCGGAAAGAGTGAAAGCGCTTTTCAGAGCTTGTCCTCGCTTCATTCCGCCTGCGCAATATGTTTCTCTTCAGATCATGTCTGCGGGG